GACAAGAAAGCCTGTTCACAACACTCTCTCATTACCAACCACCAAAATGTTAACTTGACAGCATATATTCTTTCTTGGTGATACTGTAGGAAAACTCTTACAGATGATCTCTCATACAGCTCATTAAATACTAATCACATTTAAAAGACACAATCTTTAAAACAGTGAGCTTGAGCAGTACAAGTGAGTTCCTGTTAAAACACTGGAAATATTTTTCAGAAATATGTATTTACCTTATACTCTACTGAGTTTTTATATATTATACATTCACACATGTATTTTTATATGTGCTATGCATTGTTCCATAAATGTTAGTTATAGTTTTTCTATGGCCTCTATAAATTCACTTTCAAAACTCTGGTTATAATAAATCTGTTTAATTACATAAAAAACACATAGATCCAAAATTAATTCAATCATTTTTAATCGGAGGGAATTCTCAAATTATTCTTTAATTTATGTATAAATATAATGTATTAAAGTGTAGTTTGAGAACTTCAACCACTTCATCACAGATACATCTTCCTTAGTCCAAATAATTTTGAGGATATTTTAGCATATATAATGCTTTTCTCACCCTGTGGAACATTTGTAAAATGGTAACTTAATAAGAGTAACTTTGACATAGCAATCAATTAGTAAGGACGAAAAGTCTATTATGAATGGAACACTACCAACACACAACTAGTACAAAGAAGAGGCATTAGAAATACTACCTAGTTCCATGGAACTTCCGTGCAATTTATATATAGACAATATATAGAAAGAATAGAGAATAAGGTAGTATAGACATGTCTTAAAGGCTATTAGAACTGAAGAACCTTCGGATTATACTGATCTCGCATTTTAGAGATGGGGACCTGGAAATCCAGAGAGGATAAATGATTGACCAAAGGCTGCAGAGCTGGTTTAGTGAAGTCTCGCAGCTGTCTCATTCAGCGTTCTTGATTCATGTCACACTACAACCCACACTAAGAAATAGACTTGACATACACATATTCTCGGATCTATGGTGCTGTTGGTTATAAAATACATCAGTATTACCTATACCACTAAAATGGAAAAGGGACTTTCTAGTTAGTGATAACACAGTGCTAAGATACACTATACTCTAAGATTCATCCCACTTTCCAAACTGTAAAAGGATGAAAACAAGCATCTGAATACAACTTTTACACACATATGTAAAACAGAACTTTTACATGTGACATTACCTATTGCATTCAATTTATTGTTTCTAAATGATGTTATGAGTCTACTGAGCTCATTTTACCCACCCACTAATGAGGAGAGCCGATCTAAACACTAAATCATGTATTGCAGATAATAAGAAATCTTTAACATACACAACGAAGGTGCGAACTGTTCAGTTTGATAGTAAGTGCAGAAGAAGAAAAAATATATAGTTTTATGTGGACTAAAACCACCTGGAAAATTTTCAAATTAGAAATAAGACTTTAACCTGAAATATGTTGAGATAAAGAAGTGGAAGTGAACAACTGAGCAACTTAAACTGGAAAAGCAAAACAAAAACTCAAATGTAAAAAAAAAAAATCTATTCTTTAAATGAAAATATAACCATTTAACTTAAGATATATAAAAGCATTTTTAAAGTTTCAAAAATCTTCCTTAGAGAAAATACACAGAAACCTGAAAAAGTTAAATAGAAAACTATTTAGACAAAACTGGATACAATATTTCCCCCTCTATTCTTTTTAAAAATATATTTTATTTATTTATTTATTTATTTATTTATTTATTTATTTATTTATTTTTACAGAGAGGAAGGGAGAGGGATAGAGAGAAACATTGATCAGCTGCCTCTTTCACACCTCCTACTGGGGACATGCTTGCAACCAAGGAACATGCCCTTGACTGGAATCGAACCTGGGACCCTTCAGTCTCCAGGCCAATGCTCTATTTACTGAGCCAAACTGACCAGGGATTTCCCCCCAATACTTGTTACAAATTCAAAAGGGGTCAAATAGTCTGATAGCTAAGTGACAGGGGCCTGAAAACAAGTGGCTAGACAGTCTCCCAACTCCAATTCTTCTGTGCTTTTCTTAGTCAAGGATAAAAAATTTTAAAAAAAAAAGTAAATAAATAAACACAAGCATCTTGGAATCCCCTCCTTGCAGGCCTTGTGAATATTTTTTTTTAAATCAAACAAACAAACAAAGAAAAAAAACAAAAAACTAAGGCTATAATGTACCCAGTATAAAAGTTGCTGACTGAAATTTTCAATGATCACTCTTACAGTGCTCTCGGAATGGTGTCTACAGTCCCAGCAAAAAGGAAGCAAACAAAAACATACCCAGAAGCCCAGTTAGCCTGTGTATGTAAAACGTGCACCCCCCAATGAGAACGCGATCCAATGGGGTGGGGAGGGGGGGGAAGGGGAGGGAAAGCGTGCAAACTTGGCAGTTAGGCAATGTCACTGCAATGGTTAGAACTCAAAATTTCAAACCCTTTGATGAAGATACCATCTTTCAGCCAAGCCCTGGCAGAAAGAAAACCTTTGATTCCTGTGAAGACCCTCCCTCCCCAGTCAGCTGCTGGGCTCCATCCGGAGGGATGGGGGCTCTCCCTCCCTATCACGGCTAAGCGTTCCCAGACCCAGGAGAAACCCTGGGTTTCTGCAGGGCACTCCACGTGCAGCGAAGTGTCCCAGCTCTGCAGAGGGCAGCTGGAAATGAATTTAAAATGGCAACGCGGACCAATCAGCGCTGCCTGACTGCAGCAGACGTGTACACGCACCTCCTCCGCCGGCTGGCGGAACCTGGCGGTGCCTAACTCCCTGCTAGAGCTATAAAGTAGGCGTTTTTATTCCAAGGTGGCCTGTACTTAAAAAAAATAAAAAATAAAAAAATTGGGGGTGGGGGGTGCAAGTTTTTTTTTTTTATTATTTTGGAATTAGTCCAAAATAATTTTAGGTTTGATGTGTGAAAATCTAAACCTATTTTTGTGTGTGTGTGTGTGTTTTGTTATTCAAGGATAAAAAGAGGCACATTTTAAAATGTACTCCACCTTTGTAAGCTGGACTGTGGTCATTACGGTGTTCACGTAACTCTGAAACATCATAAGCCATAAAATGAGGACTTAGCAGAAAGGGAGTTCCTAAAGAGAAGGTTAAATCGAGGTAAAATGAAGAGAGGGTTGGGCAGTTGGCACAATTGTGATGTTAGGCAGCGTAGGAGGTCCTCTCTGAGGTAACCCCTCCACCCTGCTAGCCTTGGGTTTAGCGCCAGCTGGGTAGGGTAGGGGGGGTAGACTTCCTGTTGCCTCTCTTCTTTCCGGGAGAAAAAATTTTCAATGAAGAGACTGGCGCGCTCGGCGCGCGCGTGTGTGCACATTGTTTGCATATGTGCATGTATCCGCTAATGCGCGGATATACGCCCGCGTGCACGTGTGCATGCAAGTTCGTACATGTTTACGTGTGTGCTTACTGCACGCATGTGCCTGTGCAAGTGTGCACATGTATCTCCGTGCACGCAGGTATCCGCGTGCATATCTGTGTGTGTACGGTCCTGTGATCTGTGATGAGGGCATTCCCAAGCAGAGCCGGGCTGCCAGGGGCCAGCTCCTACTCCCCTTCAGTTCCTTCTCACTCACGGGGACCCAGAGCTCCGCGGCGCGCGCAGCTAAACTCTTCCCGCAGAGTGCTGGCTCCGCATGGTGGAGGCGCAGGTAAAGGCCAAGGCTCCCGGGCAGTCCCATTCCCGCGCCTTTTCCAGGACAGCCGCCCAGGGGCGACCCCGGGCGGCGGGAGGGGCGCGGCCCGCGGCGAGCCAGCTCGGGACCGCCGGCCTGTCCCTTTCACCTCGCCGCCGGCGGGAGCACGTGAGCGGGGCTCCGGGTGGCACCCGGGCGCCGCCGCCGAGGCAATTGTATGGAGAACGCTGCCTCTGGCCCGCGGCCAGGCGCCTCGGCTCGGCGGTCCGCCCGGCCCCCCTCCTCCCCGCACTGCTCCTCCCGCGCAGCCCCCTCCTCCTCATCCGCCCACGATTAGAGGTGGGCACTGCCCCCACCCCGGCCCGCCGCCCCCTCCCCAGGCGCGCGCGCACGCGTACACACACACACACACACACACACACACACACACTCACACACACTCACACATCCCGCTCGAATCCCGGGGCAGGAACTCAGAAAACTCCCAGCCCGGGCAGAGCGCACTCGGTGCAGGACGCAGGAGCGAGCAGCCGTCCCCCTCCAGCTCCCGGTGCCGCCGCCGCTCCGGCCCCCGAGGAGGCGCGGTGCCCCCGCTCCCCACCCTCCTCCGCGCTCCGCGCCCGACCCGCTCCCGTCCCGGCAGACGCTCCCCGTCCTCCTCGGCTTCCCGACTGCCCGGAGCGCTACTTGTTCTCTCTCTCTCTCTCTCTCTCTCTCTCTCTCTCTCTCTCTCTCTCTCTCTCTCTCTCTCTCTCTCTCTCTCTTTTTTCTTGCTCTGCGAACTCCGCGGAGCAGGGGGGAGAAGAGGAGGAGGAGGAACTTTTTCCCCCTCCTAACATTTCAAGGGACACCCCCATTCACTACAAGTCTCTTCCCTCTCCGAGCTGCTGGCGAAGCGCTCCCGGGGATCGCAACTCCTGATCCCCAAACCGAAAGGGGTGCCTTCCCAACTCCAAACCCTCTTTTTCTTCTCCCTCGCTTTCCTCCTCCTCCTCCTCTTACCACCTCCTCCGCCACCTCCACCACCACCGCCACCAACACCTCCACCAACACCACCTCCACCTCCACCTCCACCTCCACCTCCGGCACCCAACCGCCGCCGCCGCCGGCAGCGCCTCCTCTCCTCCTCCTCCCTCTCCTCTCTCTTGGCAGCCGCTGGACGTCCGGTGTGGATGGTGGCAGCGGCGGCCGCTTAAGCAGCAGCCCTCGCAGCGCGCCGGCTCTCGCTCCCTCCGCCTCCTTCTCCAGCCCCAGCGGCTCCTCTCCCCAAAGGTGCCGGGCCGGCCGGGGGCAGCGGCGGCAGCAGCGGCGGCGGCGGCGGAGGCAGGATGAGCGCACGCGGGGAAGGCGCCGGGCAGCCGTCCACTTCAGCCCAGGGACAACCTGCCGCCCCCGCGCCCCAGAAGCGAGGACGCGGCCGACCCAGGAAGCAGCAGCAAGTCAGTACCCCGGAGGGTGGGAGCCCCGCGCCCTCCGCTGGGGCCCCCGCGATGTGCAGCCGCTCGGATGCGGGAGTCCCGGGCGTCCCGGTCGCTCTGGTCGCTCCGGCTGTGCCACGCGCTGCCCGCCAGCCGGCCGGGGGAGGGCGGCGGAGTCCCGTGCGCGGCTGAGCACCTCCGGGCGGGGAGGTGGGGAGCCGGGCCGGGCGGCGGGATGCAGGCGGGAGGTGCGGGGGGAGGGGGGGGAAGGAGGGAAGCGGGTCCTCAGACTTTCGCTATTGTGCACCGTCCGGAGGGTCGAGGTGGCTCCAGGTCGCTGGAAGCGGCCGGCCGGGGTCCGACCCTCTGGGGCTCGCGGGCGCTTTCCTTAACCGCGTTGCAATGGCCCCGGGGGAAGGAAGGGCGAGGGGCTAGGATGCTCTGGATGGGGCTCAAGTCCTGGGGGGCCGTTCCGGGCTCTGTCTCCCGCCATCCCGGGCGGCTAGCGGGCCCGGGGCTGGGACTCCGCAGCCGCCCCCTTGGCGCCTTCCCCGAGTGCCTGGTGGCCGGAGCCCCGCGCGCTCCCGACAAAGAACTCGCGGGCAGCCCGGTCCCCTCTGCGCTCTTTGAATTCGGCGGCTCCGCCGAGGGGTCCCGGGGAAGGGGCCCCCGGTGGGGCTGGGTCCGCCGGGGACGGGATGAGCCCGTTTGGCCCGGGGCGCGAAGGAAAGTGAATGTCCGAGGGAGAGTGCCCTGCAGCTCTAGGGTCACTTCCTCGCCAAGCGCCCAGGCTTCCTTTTTTTGCCCCTGGATCCCGCGCCTCCTCAGCGCATCAGACATTCAATGTGTTAGTGACTCCAGAGCCATTGGCTGGGGGGTTGGGAGGGGAAGATCGAGGGGCGCCCGGGACCCCGCGGAGTGGAGGGTTTTGTCTGCGGATGCAACCAATTAAGCGTGCAGCCGGCGCTTGCAAGGCTTGCGCGCAGCAGCGCCCAGGGCGGGGGGGTTTTGTACGCTGCAATTTCCAAGCCTTGGCGGGCAGGGCTCCGGAGCGGGACATGCCCATGGAGAACATTTAAACTTCGCTTCCGCGGGCTTTTAAAACTTCTTCATCCCTTAGACTCAAAGAGTTTCCTTCATGGCACAGAGGCTGGTTATAGAAAATTATCCCGGAGTCCCAAAGCCGCCCGAGAGAGCGCGGTGGGGAGAGCGAACAATGTTGGCTGGCCGGCGCGCTTTTTTGAGGAAAATGGAGAGGGCTGTACCTTTTTTAAATCATCAAAGGAAACAAGCCCATCTAGAGGCCCCCGGGTTTTCCCGCTCTGCCCCAGGCGACACCTCGTACCGCGCTCGGACCCCGTTTTCCACCTCCCAGCTAGTCCCTGCCGCCCCCCCACCCCACCCTGGTTTCCCACCCGCCACCCAGCTCTCTCGAGCTCTTCTCCTTGCCTCCCGCCTCCAAAAAAATAATGGAAAAGAAATTGCTGTGTGGTCTGGAGGTGATGGGAGGTTTTTACCTTTGCGTTAAGGCAGAGTTCGCAAAGAAAGGGAAATGTGTCTCCGATGTGTGTGCTCCGGATGTGCCCACTGGCGCTAGTGGTCCCACGGAAGCTTTCAGTAACCTTCCCCAGATTCTCTCAGTAGGACGCGAATTTTCATTGAAGACTTTCACGAGGAGTTTTAAGTTAATTAGTCTCGTTTAATCATCGAATCTGAGTGAAGTGTAATTTGATGATTCACTGGGTAAATATTTAGGAACTGGAATATTAATCATCACATTCTCTTAACCACTTGAGTATTTACTAACTTGGCATAGAAGCCATTTAAAGTTTTTGCTAAAACCTATTGATAGTTTCAATTTCTCCTTCCCAGACACTTCCATTCCTCCTTTCTACTCCCCACCCCCTTATTTTTCTCCAGTTCACCCCCATAGTGGTTTTCTCAAAAGAAAGTTTTGGGGAGTTTTTTCATTTTTATCAAAAGATATTTAAATTTAGACTAGAGACCATGCCTGAATCTCTAAAAGGAAGTGGAGAATTGAAGCAATTATCTAGATAATTCAAGCAAAACCTCCCACAACAGATTTAACATAATTATTTGGAAATTTTAAGGGGAATGGAGTTGTTTTGAGTTGAAGAACTTGGTTAATTGCTCCAATATTTCACTCAATGTGTTGACTACAATATAGATATGCAGAGATGATTAAAAACCATCTTTCAGTAGGGAAGATTGTTGAAATATTTATGATGTTAGCTTCCTTTTTCTGTTAGAAATTTAAATTTCTAACAGAAAAAGGAAGCTAACATCATAGTATTTGTGTAAAATGCTTATGGCCAGTAGTATTTGTGTAAAATGCTTATGGATGAATTGCCAGATGCATAACCATGCAACCTTTTCACCTTAATGTATGCCTTTCCTTCTAGAACATGCAAACTTGTCATCCTTTGTTACCTTGGTAGGGTTGAAATGGAATCTAGTTTTCATATGTAAAATACGTTTCCTCTTTGAACCTTTGGATTTAAAAGGGTCCTCATTGCCCCTTTCTGAAAACTCTGAGTCATCACTACTATTTAAGCTTGAACCGAATGTGTTCCAACAGTTCAGTGGAGCAGCACATGCAGAAAATGTAACTATGGAGTCAGGGTCAATTTCTTGCAAACCTCCTTGCCACAACAACATTTTTATTTTTATTTTTATTTTATTTTTCTTCTCCACAATTAGGAGCCAACTGGCGAGCCCTCTCCTAAGAGACCCAGGGGAAGACCCAAAGGCAGCAAAAACAAGAGTCCCTCCAAAGCCGCTCAAAAGGTGAGATTTCTCAAGTCAGGTCCTCCCAGCTTTCCCAACCCCCACAGGAACCTCCCTGCAATTTTCCCACCTACATCCACACTCAAGGATTGGTCTTCACTGGTCAACCCAAGACTCATTTCCAACCCTGGATAGGAATAAGATTTCCAAGCAAGTGCTTAGCATAAAAAGTTCATGAAGAGGCTTCCGTGTTGTGTTTAAACAATCACCAAATAATATGAAACTTAAAATGGGGTTGGGAGGGTGGGGAGGAGGAGGGAGTGGCGAATGACACATTTAAGGTTTGGGCCATTTATGAGATAGTTAAATACAACTCCACAGGATAGATTTTGTAATTTTCTTGAAAAGTAATAAAGATTAATTTACTTTGTGCTTATTTAAAAGACTACTGTAAAACCAAATTCCACTATTAAAACTAAGCACTTTATCAAATAGATGGTAATTAGAAGTAAATCCAATTATCAAATACTGGAAAAAATAGGACTTTTACAGCTTTAAATTTGATGATTACGTATATTGCTTGCTTACAATAAGCTTGCAATATATTATAATCTCTCAAAAAGCCTTTCCATCAGGTGATATAGAAATGCACTCAATGGAACAATGACAAATTTTTTAAACAAATCTTTGACTCACTGTATTTTTTTGGGCAGGATAGAATCCAGTCAAGTATAATTTCCAGTGTTATCCTTTATAAACATTGAATTGTAGTGTAAAATAACTTATGTTGCTTTTATTTGAGCTAGAAAAGAGAAAGAATCTCAGGATCAATTCATATATAGAGGGTGACTATACAATTTACATGTTTTAGCCTTATAAATAAATCTGAAAAAAAAATTTCTGTATTTTATCTGTAGGTTTGTATACTAGTTAAAAACAAAGATTCATAATTCAGGAGTACATTTGAGTACACCATGAATAGTATTTGTTAGAAAGGACTCTATGGTCATCTTTTGGGGATTAATGTTTTATGTGGTTTTTCTCTGATTATGGGCACTTATCATAATATATGTGATGGTTTTCATGTTGTAAACTGTCATAGCAACCAGTGATACATATAAAGTTATTTAGGGTATAGCTATGATGTTTTTGTCTGTTTTATTTTAATAGTCTTAAACAGAGTTGAAGGAGCAGGTTTCTAATATATTTAAATCTAACACCTCAGAATGAAGATGGGCTACGCACATTTAAATAATAAACTTTCAAGTAGCTCTAAACTACCTATTCATTTAAAAGTGACAATACAGAATCTTATATTCCTGACCTAAATACTTTCAGTTACAATTTTATTGATTTATTAAGTTAACTAAAATAAGGCTCACTTAACAGGTGTTTTTTTGTTTTGTTTTGTTTTGTTTGTTTTTTTATGTAGCATAGTGTGGGATTTACCTAACTTGATTTCACTTAAATGAGATGGCAAAGGGATAGCTTGGTAGATAGCTAATGTACATTTAGACTATGATGTACTGTTCTAAAAGATGCATCGTTATAACATCTCCCAGAAAGAAGCCCATTAATCTCATCTTAAATTATTTAAAATATAATACAAAAGAAGGAAAAGGAATTACCTTTCGGATTTCATTGTATTACATGTTTTCCAGTGTAAAGAGATGCTTCTATCACCATTCATTTTTAACAGTTTAACATCGACTAACAAAATCTTCATTGACAAGGAGAGCTGAGACTTATGCCTAATTTACCACCTAAAACCAAATAACGAAAAAGTTGATCTCTTCCAAAGTAAGGAAGGTTTTTTTTTAAATTACTTTTATGATGGGCGTTTACTATGACCTTAATTAGACCACTCATCTCTCTGTTAGTTCTATATGCATACATATTACAACTGCCAAAACAAAAGTAGACTTTCTTTTTCCCCAAAGAAATGCTTCCCTGAAATCTCTTATTCTTCCAGACAAAATTATTTCACACAATGGTTAAAGTCCCCCTTCTAATAAAAGTGAATTAATATATTTGCCAATAACACGACTGTTATATTTCTTCAGTTTTATTAATGATGCTTCATTTAGAGAAGATAATACTTTGCAAAACAGTGAATGACATTGATGAATTGTTCATGGCATGTGTAAACTTAAGGTATTTTCACTCTGAAGTCAGTATTTATCCAGTTTGCTGCTACCCTATATAAACATAATTATCAAACATATTGTATTCTCACAAAACATAAGTTTGTAAGTATTTTGAAAAGGACTCTTTTTTAAGAAATAGTTATATTGTTCATAACGTGTAAGATAAACATATCCTGCTAGACTGACCAGAGTAGATATGAGCAATCTTCTATGATTAATAAATTAGTTATTCTCCTGAACACTGTGACTAATCAAAATGAAAACAGTGTAACAAAAACTGGTAAGTATATAAGGGAATAGATTCTAAAGCTAGAGAAGCTACAGTGAGCATTAGAATCCCATGATGGGTGCTTAAACTTTCTTGCTGCTTGGAGTTCCTTTACTTATAAAGTTTATGTTTGGGCTCAGTAATTGGCCTTGGGGCATTTGAAAACAAAACTGCTCCTGGGAAAATTAGCAGTGTGAAACTTGACAATGCATGCAGAGTGTGGCAAGACCAAGTGCTTGACTACTAAATTAGCTATCACTTTAATTGCAGGCCATAGTCAATATAAAGTTGATCTGGTTAATATAAAACAAACGTTTCTAAAAATACTATGTGTTATGCTTGGAATTTTTGGGAGAGAAGATAATTCTTACATTTGCTTCTATTCCATTATGACAAATTCTCATAGATGACCATTATGTAGCAATTCTAGTCCTTAGAATTCCAATCTGAGTTCTCAAAATTTGTCCCTGAACCAATTTCATATTGTTATCTTAAAAGAAACTGGGAGCTAATGTTTTCCTGAATACTTGATTCGTGTGTGTGTGTGTGTGTGTGTGTTTTACCCTTTTATTTATGTTTTAGTTTGAGATATATCTGTAACCAGTTGCCTCTGAATTTCCTTTTTGTTTTGTTTTGTTTTCCTCTCATTTGTGCTGGAGGGAAATATTTTCTATTTTCAGATTACCCACGTTTGGGGAAAAGAAAGATAACCTCTCCTAATGTTTGGTTTAGGGATTTTGTTGTGGCTCTTTAATCATGAGAGAATACAAGAGGGGTTGTCATTAATTCTCTAGTGTTTAAGATTATAGGTCAAATTCATCAAGTCTCAAGCCAATTCTCATTTATGTATTTGTAGGGGGGAAATCTTTAGATTGAATTACATTTTTTTCTTTATTGATTAAGGTATTACATATGTGTCCTTACCACCACTTCTCCCTCCCCACCCCACCATGCTCATGACTCACCCCCCTGGTATCTTTGTCTATCGGTTAGGCTTATATGCATGCATACAAGTCCTTTGGTTGATCTCTCCCACTTACTCTCACCTTCCCTCTAAGGTTTGACGGTCTGATTGATGCTTCTCTGTATCTGGATTTGTTTTTTGTTCATCAGTTTATGTTGTTCATTATATTCCACAAATAAGTGAGATCATGTGGTATTTATCTTTCTTTGACTGGCTTATTTTGCTTAGCATAATGCTCTCCAGGTCCATCAATGCTTTTGCAAATGGCAGGAGTTCCTTTTTACAGCAGCGTAGTATTCCATTGTGTAGATGTACCACAGTTTTTTAATCCACTCATCTGCTGATGGGTACTTAGGCTGTTTCCAAATCTTAGCTATTGTAAATTGTGCTATGATCATGGGGATGCATAGATCCTTTCTGATTGGTATTTCTGATTTCTTGGGATATATTCCTAGAAGAGGGATCACTGGGCCTAATGGGAGTTCCATTTTTAGTTTTTTGAGGAAACTCCATACTGTCCTCCACAGTGGCTGTATCAGTTTGCATTCCCACCAGCAGTGCACGAGAGTTCCTTTTTCTCCGCATCCAGATTGAATTAAATTTTAATAGAAGGAAATTGCATACAAAAAAAAGATTTTATGTGTGAGGTAGCCCCCTTCATAATGTCATAGATTTTCTTGAGTTGCATTTTGACCAGACCTAGAGAGCAAAGCAAGGAATGAAAATATATGGGTAAAGGGTGTATGTATGATTCAAATAAAGTGTTCAGATTAAGATTTAATATATCTTCTATTTACCTGATATTATAATAATTGGGTACTATAAAAGCAGATTTGTGCTCCTTCTAATCACATTCCCAGAAGTGTGCTTTAGTTTTGATAAATGCTTACTAATGCTCATCATAGATATTTACATGAGGGTGAGAGATTGTGAGTTTTACTTGTCATTTTAGATAAATATCAGAGTATAATGCTAAGTGAGGACAAGATTTCCCCTCCCCCTAATACAGTAGGCTCAATTAGAGAGAGTAACCAAAGGCGTCATTAGAGGTAAGTTGGAGAAAAGATGGTTTGGGAAGTTATCATAGAATTCCAGCCGATGGTTTCTATGTTACTAGTATGATTTTGTTTGATTCCTTTGTGTTTTAGTGGGGAGGTAATTCCCACTGACCCTGATATGCAAATGAATCCAGGCCGGTAGAATTACGAAAAGCCCAGTTATTGTCTCCATTGTGATGATACTTTAGGCTGACCTGCCTAAACAATTGACTCATGTTTTTCATTTCACTTTTCCAGGGAGGACCAAGCCTTACTGCATCAGTAAATTTTGTCTGGCAATGCCTTTGAGTCATCATAGAGTATGATCCAAATATGGGAGAGTCAAGTACATCTGAATTATTTCATGAAGTAGTGTTATTTCAGGGGAGTCATAATTCCCATTCTCTGCAAGCTATCGTTCTTCTCAACTTTTTTTTTTTTTTTTCATCAATAGCTCCTCATTACTTTGACTGACCTACAGACAACCATGGCTTGTGTTTACCTCCCAAGTCTCAGTAGATCATTTTGCTAAGGAGGTACAACATACCAGATTGGTATCCTGTTGCATTTCAGTTCTTCCTTGAGAATAGATGGATGCTAGAGAGCATTTTAGTAGTATGTCAGTTAAGTCATTCAAACCCATC